CTTATTCTGGCATAAATATTAATAGCACCACTTTACTCAAGTACCCAGACTGGCAATAGTCTTCTTCCACGGCGATCGGAGCCCACTAGCAGGCTGATTTCTAAAGTATGCCCTTCATCCTTCTGGGCCCAGCTAGGAGAATGAAGCATGGGGTTGGGCAGCCCCTGGGCGTATCTCTTCTTCTCTGTACTCAAGTCAAGCTGTCTAGTTTCTGGCTCCTAACTCTGGATCTGTCTTAAGGTGTCTCCACCAGCAATCTGAGAGACGGAATCTTAGTCATTCATGTTTCACCAGAGGACAAGCAAAAGGTAATTGTCAGCCACCAGTCTCTACTAAAAGACAGAAATGATATACTGCCAAAATGTTAAGTTGACCACCGTGAAACTTGTCTGTCGGTGTGTCTGTTTCTTTAAGCTGTGAATACTGAAATTATGCTTTGTCTCCTCCCCACCCCAGGGGGATGCCGTTTTGCAGTGTGGACACATGTTTGAAGCAGTTACTAAACTCGTCATGCTGGTTAAGAAGGAGAACATTGTCAATGTTGTTCAAGGAAGGTAGGTGGTTTCATCTTCAGCTCAGGAAGTAATTCAATGTCACAGTGTTTATTAAGACCGAGCATGGTGGCTCATGCCTGTAATCCCAGCACTTTGGGAGGCTAAGGCGAGCAGGTAACTTGAGGCCAGGAGTTCAAGACCAGCCTGGCCAACATGGTGAAACCCCATTTCTACTAAGAATACAGGCCGGGCGCGGTGGCTCACGCCTGTAATCCCAGCACTTTGGGAGGCGGAGGCAGGCGGATCACAAGGTCAGGAGATCGAGACCACAGTGAAACCCCGTCTCTACTAAAAATACAAAAAATTAGCCGGGCGCAGTAGTGGACGCCTGTAGTCCCAGCTACTCAGGAGGCTGAGGCAGGAGAATGGCGTGAACCCGGGAGGCGAAGCTTGCAGTGAGCCGAGGTTGCGCCACTGCATTCCAGCCTGGGGGACACAGCGAGACTCCGTCTCCAAAAAAAAAAAAAAAAAAAAAGAATACAAAGATTAGTTGGGCTTGGCAGTGCACGCCTATAATCCCAACCTCCACTACCTGGGTTCAAGTGATTCTTGTGCCTCGGGAGGCTGAGGCACAAGAATCACTTGAACCCAGGTAGCAGAGGTTGCAGTGAGCCGAGGTCACATCACTGCACTCCAGCCTGGGCAACAGAGCTAGACAATGTCTCAAAAAAAAAAAAAAATTATTACAGATCAGGAAAGATACAAATATTGTTTTCACTCCTGCTTGCCTCCTGCTTCCAACATAATCAAGCACCATCTCTACCAGTAAGGGGTGAGAAACAAGCCTCTAGTGTTACATCCTCGCCCCCTCCCATAAAGAACTTTTTTCCATCTTCATCCCTGTGATCTTGGGTTCCAGAGAAATGAAGTCAGTGAAGGCAGGATATCCTGGAGAGCTGTTTCTTTTCCCTCATCCTGTGCTGTTCCAAGTTTTAACAACCAGAGGAGCACATTTGTAGGTGGAATAAGGAGAGAGAGTTGAGTGCTTTGAAATGTGTCGTCTTTGTGTTGCTGTACCTCTGAGGGAATACTCAGCCCCTCAGAGCTTCAGCGTGACATGGAAGTAGTTCCGCAGACCTCACACTGACCCTCTGAAGAACTGAATGTGCTCACTTGATTTCACGGTAACTACCGAAACATGTAGGTTACCCAGCTGTGGCAACAGCGTTCTTCCTTTCCTCAAATATGCTATAAAACACTGTAATAAAACAGGAATTTGATCTTGAAATTAGGAGAATTTCGTAAGTGAATTTCTTTTGCAAACCAAAGGTTGAGAGAAGAAAATACAGTATGTCAGTAATGTGTCACTTTGTGTATTTTAAGTTTACAGTTTTTTATTAGTCCGGGAAAAGAAGGCACAATAGTTTTCGACACTGGACCGGAAGAACAAATCTATAAAAATAAAAATGGACAATTAACAGTGGTGAGTGGCCGTCTCTGGGAGGGAAGTAAGCCGTTTTATAGAATGTAAGTTAAAGTTCTACCAATTTCAGTCCTATAGATTGACTGGATTCACAAGCTATTAATAGTTCATTTCTGCCCTCTATTCCTAATTCTACATCTGTAAGATAGGAAGAAATTGATACAGAGATATATACGTCTAAACACTGAATGAGAAAAGAAGAAAAGCTTACCATCCTTAAGTTGTCAGGGAACCAGAAACTGACGTAAGACACTTCTCAAATAGCAGAGTCTCACTTTTCACTGGATGAAGGCTTTATGCTCATTACAGTGGCTATCCATAACTTCCCTCCACATCGAAATCAATGTGCTTGTGTCCCACCCAGATACTGAGACTTAATTGGTTGGAGGTGTGGCTTGGGCTTCAGGATGCAAGAAAATATAAATGTAAGAAAAGTATGTAAGAAATACATAAAAAATATGTAAGAAAATATAAACTCGCTTTTTGGAATACATGTGTCAAAGGCTGCCCGTGTTAATACCTTTGGTATAAAATGGGTCTAACAAGCACAGAGGTTTGGGAACCATGGCTATGCTAGAGAGAAGTCTAGCCTGAACACACAAGTATGCTGCCTTCCCTGACTGTGCTCATGCTGGGCTGAGCATCCCAGTGGTCCTCACTGGCAGGTAATACATGGAGCTTGTTTTGATCCAGTTTTGCTGAAAAACGACATGTTAAAAGCAGAGGGGGCTACATCTTTAAAATGTTTCTTGTATTATACAAAGAATTTTGATACAAATTAATTAAAAAATGGTCTGTGAACATGGAGTGTCTCATACACATTGAAATTTAAGTGGATTTACCTATAAAGTCATTTTGCAGGCCAGGTGCGGTGGCTCACACCTGTAATCCCAGCACTTTGGGAGGCTGAGATGGGCGGATCACCTGAGGTCAGGAGTTGGAGACCAGCCTGGCCAACATGATGAACTCTGTCTCTAGTAAAAATACAAAAAGTAGTTGAGCATGGTGGCACATGCCTATAGTCCCAGATACTCAGGGAGGCTGAGGCTGGAGAATTGCTTGAACGTGGGAGGCAGAGGTTGCAGTGAGCTGAGATGGCACCGCTACACTCCAGCCTGGGTGATAGAGTGAGACTCTGTCTCAAAAAAATAAAATCATTTTGTAGATAAAAAATAATTGCCCCTAGACACAATGAACTCCTTTGGGGACAAGTTAAAATAAATCATTTTGGATGTAGACTATAAGGTGTCTTTTTAGTTTACATGCTGTCTTAAAAGTGACACCCTGGAGACTGTGTCTCTCTCCTCTGGAGTCACGTGGAGTCTGTCTTCCTCCCTGACTGGTTCTGGCTGAAGAGGCTGACAGGCCTCCATGCGCCAGTTTCTAAGTCTGGCTTATCTCATGGGAGGTGGCACTGGCTTCTCACAGGCCTTCCACACCCACCTTGCTAATGGTGACAGTTGAGGTGATAACTGTTTCCTTTTGAGCAAAGGGAGCGGGCAGGGCTGTAAACTGAAGTGTGACTCTCTCCCAGGTGTCGGTCAGGAGGAAGTCCTGATAGAGGATGACATCTGACCTCTACCACCGCCATTTTTGCTCCAACTGAGGAAATTACAGGGGAAGCAGGGATTGGATCCAGTTGGCTACCTCTTCAAGGAACCAGGCCCGCAGCACTAACGGATCACATCTGAAGAAACTGAGGGGCGTTAGTTAGGCCAAAGCCTAACCCCAGCTTCTCAGCTGCCTCGTGGCACCTTATTAAATTGTCACCTTCTGGACACAGACCCCAGGTCACCCAAAGGCATGATTCTAAACACCCTCGACAGGACCTATGTTTAATGGGCACTCCAACGTGTCATTAGAGGGTGGGCAAGATTCTCTACCTCTGTCAAGCTGCCCCGAGACATGATGCAATACTGTGTACAGTAAGTTCTCAAATAACACTTCATTATGTTGATAAGACATCTGATTCCTGGGCAAGGCCACTGTCTGGGTGGAGTCTGTACGTTCTCCCTATGTCTCTGGGTTTCTTCTGGATGCTCTGGTTTCCTCCCACATCCCCAAGGTGTATGTATCAGGTGAACTGGCGTGTCTATGCAGTCCCAGTCTGAGTGCATGTGGGTGCGTGAGTGAGCCCCATGAGAGGAGGACATCCTGTCCAGGGTGGGTCCCGCCTGGTGCCCTGAGCTGCTGGGATTGGGCTCTGGCCATCTGCAACCCTGAACATGCAGGTTGGAGAACGAATGAATGCGAATTTTATTGTAAAAGAAAAATGGATATAAAGCATATGAGCACACAAATGGACAATAAATGCCACAGTGCAAAAGCATGTAGGGAGCCCGTCACACTTGTAACTGGGGAGGGGCTCCTTATAATTTCCCCTTTGCAAGCGTTTATTCACTGATTGATGCGGCCACCGCTACAACCACCCTCACTCACTCATTCACCAAAACTTAGGTAATGATCTTATTTTTAATTAAATATATGTGTAGCTCATTTATTTCAGTGTTTAATATGAGAAGTGCTTTGGTCTTTATTTAGAAGTTGGGTGATGTTTTTGTGCCCAGCAACATGCTGTAGGAATTGAACTCTTGTTTCAATCCATTAGCCTCATGGTTTTGCTTCAAGTCTCAGCTTCCAAGAACCTCTCAATGACTTACTGTGCATGGTCTGAGACTAAAGGAAATTTCCTAAAGCTGCAAAATTTGAATTTTGCTTTACATAAATGGAACTCAGATGTGTCAAGGGATTGGGTTTGGTGAACTGAAGCCGTCTGCCCCATAACAGTAAATCAGTGGTAACACCAGCTGATTCACCCTTTTTCACGAGCCAGGCAGCCTTTGACCCCAAGACTTCCTTTTGGCGTTTGACTTCAAACACTACAGAAACATGACTCGTCTTTCCCTTCCACCCCGAGCGACTTTAAGGGGGTGAGGCAGAACGTGGGGGCCCTGCCTTTGTTGAAAACCACATTTGAGGGGCCCGGTTATGCCAGGCATGTCTGAAAAGACCCAGAAAACAGAAGCATTTTATGACTTTTATTTTACATGTCCACAAATGTCTGCACAACATACAGTGGCTACATCTAAAACTTTGAGCATTTTTTTTATAGCGCAGAGACGGAAAGGTTAATGACACACTTAACTGTGTTACAGTGACTTTGGGTAGAGCCCTAAAGACAGCACACGCTCCAGAGGGAGGGCTGAGCGTTGTTCACACTCGGGTCCGAATCGCTGTTGTAAGGTACAAAGACACACTTTAACTGGGGAATGGGGTCCCCGCACAGTGATTCCCCCCACAGGAGGGTGACAGAATATGCCAGGAATTGTCTCGGACGTGGGCCCCAGTCACCACAATCAAATGGCTTATTTAAAACAAACAAAAACCTTGATTACAACACACCAAAGCTGTTCCAATTAGTAAAAAAATTGTAGTTACTACATTGCAGTGAAACCTGACTCTTTACCAAATCTTGGGCCAATGTTTTACTTGGCTAGTGCTTACATTATAAATACTGGTTTTTGCCCTTAGTGCGAACATAAAAATCAGTTCCTTGTATATTCAGTAACAGAGCTTGGACCAGCCAATGCTGTCTGTTTACTCATGGCTATAATGCAGCCGACAGAATTTGTTCACCATGGAATGTTTTATAAACCTGTTCATATTCCAGAGAGACAAAGACTCAAAACTACAGGTGCAAAGTTGGAGAAAAAGTGAGGGTAGAGAGAGCTGCCAGAAACACTAGCTCATTAGGCATAGAGGCCACAGCAAATCAAATTGTTCCACAAACTCATTCTTCATACAGACATTTAAAAAACTAAGCAGCCAGGTGTGGTGACTCATGTCTGTAATCCCAGCACTTTGGGGGGCCAAGGCGGGCGGATCACGGGGTCAGGAGTTCGAGACCAGCCTGGCCAACATGGTGAAACCCCATCTCTACTAAAAACACAAAATTAGCCGGGCACGGGCTGGTGGGTGCCTGTAATCCCAGCTACTCGGGAGGCTGAGGCAGGAGAATCGCTTGAACCCGGGAGGCAGAAGTTGTGGTAAGTGGAGATCGTGCCACTGCACTCCGGCCTGGCCGATAGAGCAAGACTCTACCTCAAAAAAAAAAAAAAAATGTATACAATGGATTTTCCATTTTCAGGGCCGATATTCACTTCGACTTTCTAAAAAAGCTCAACCCAAAAGGCAGGGTTGGTGTTTAAAACTTAAACAGTATAAAATCTTTACGAAACATTATTTTGTAAGCCCTCTTTCCTTAGCAGTTAATAAAATCCAAATGGCCTAATATAAAAGTTGCTCACAGGACAGTTTAAAAAGCGTCTGCCCAATACATGATTTTGACATTCAGTCATGATTGTTTCCAAGTTTTATTGTAGGCTTTGCTGTTGGATACAAAATGAAGGCATACAACTGTCACAGGCAGGGCAGTACGTACAAAGTCTAAGCTGTAAAAACCGTTTGAAAATATAAACTCGCTTTTTGGAATATATATGTCAAAGGCTGCCCATGTTAATACCTTTGGTATAAAACGGTAACGATTCCCTTGACAAACCCATCCATCACCTGACACACATTCACATCTCCTGGTAACTACTCTACCTAGTCTAGTCTCAACCACCCCTGTCAGTCACGACTCACTCCTGTTCCTTTGCAGGCGCAGAGGAGCCTGGGAGGTAGGTCACTGAGAACACCTGTCCTACACGGGTGTTGCACCCAGCTGGGCTCCAGCAGGGGCCACCTGTGCCCCACAATCACACGTCCCCACCCACAGTCGCACACATCCCTTAAACATGAACACAGACACAAAGCAGACCCAAAGGTATCTATCAACCCGCACATCCTCAACCTGTTCACTGCTGGCCACTCTACACTGTAAAAATCAGAGGCAAAGACAAGGCGGTCTGTGTTTACAGCAGGTAAGCTCCTTGGGGCTGGTGGTGTGAGGATGTCCCTGCCTGGATGCCAGGCTGGGAGGAAAAAGGGTCTGGGCCACAATGAATTTCTAAGCCAACTGACTTAGAAAGTTAGCCCAGCTTCATGGGGAAGGAGGCTGAAGAGGAGTGGGATCCCAGGGAGGGGTAGTTTATGAGCTATGCCTGTCACAGGGTCAGATGGCCTTCCTGGAGTGGAGTCAGGTCAACCAGGAGAACAACTGGAAGGGGCTGGAGTTGGGGAAAGAACCAGAAACAGCTGGACACTTACTGCCATGGAAAGCTCTGCTCCTACGCAGACACGTGGGGTCCCAGTGAGCACCAGGCCAAAGACCAGCCCAAGGTGGCCAAAGGCTTTCTCCCTAAACAAAACCTTGCACCCAAAGTTGCACTGGTCACAACGATTTAGATGCTCATTCAGCCACATTTCCACTGCCACAAGCTGCAATTATCAACAAGCTCTAGGCCCAAAGCGACATGGCAGAAAGCACTTCTAGCAAAGCGGTGGGAATTGTGTCCGGGCCAAACACACAGGAACCAGGAGTGGACCTGCTGGGGCTGGAAGATTATGAAATAGGAAGCAGGGAGCTCAGATACCTCTGGTGGCCTCCAACTGCAGAACAACTCTCGGAACTGTCAAACTGAACCCTTAAGGGAGTGTCACCCAAAAAGCCCATATGGGAAGTCGACACCCACAAAAATAAATACTGCAAACAAAAGTTCTCACATACACTTCACACACATTCATACTTTTCCTCTGAGAACCGAGAAAGCCTGGCTCCAAAGAGTCTCAGATTCTCATGAAAAGTAGAGATCTTGGACACAGCTTGTTCAAAGACAGGGGTCATACGCCTGGGTCAAGACAATCAATTTGCCTTGTCAAGCAATACCAAAATAATCATCTGACTTGTTACAAAAGTATCTCCAGGCTCCAAGGGAAGCAGAAGGGGCCCGGCAGCCTGCACAGGATCTGGGTGTAGCACGGCAGGGAGTGGGGGCGGTGAGAAAAGGGCGGCTCGGTCTCTTGCCTGCTCACTGGTGGAGGTGGGCCCGGTCGTCGGGGCGCTTGATGTGGATCCGCCGCACGCGCTCGATCCGCTCCCGCTCCCGCTCCTCGTCCTCATCCAGGTGGTGGGAGCGCCCTGCCGCCCCGCCTGTGGCCTCCAGGAGCGCATTGTCAGGTCCCCGGCCGTCCTGGGCCTCATATAGCAAAATGTTCAGGGTCTCCTCATAAATCCGGGCTTCAGGAAACTCCACCTGTGTTCCCACAAAATACAGGGTAGGTAAGTTAACGGCCCACACTCTCTGCCAACACCTGGACTTTAAGCAGGGCCGCCAGACTAAATCAGGCCCCTGGGATTCCACTGAAGGCCACCAGTATTATTTTTAAATAAACTGATATTTTCAATGGCAACACTTACATGTGGCGCTAAATGCACAGAAAATCAAGGGGATGCAGAGAAACAGGTCCCCCTGTCCCTAGTTTCCCTTCTTAAAGGTACAGTTTCTCATCATTTTACCCTCTCAAAGATTCTGTGCATGTCAATATTTGTACATATATTTATTCACACAAAACACACACAAGGTGGCCCACCACACACACTTGTACATGTCTTCCTCTTGTCCCTAACTTAACCTAGAGATCATTCTGGAACAAGGAAATATAAACACGACAATGCAATTAACCGTACTTGGATGGACATTTAGGTCAGTGCTCATATGCTTCTCCTAACAGAGGTGCAACCTTGCACACAAGTCCGTCCACACCTTAAAGCAGTCTCTAAAGCAGTTTTTTGTACAGGGTCCAGCTGGGGACCCCCACGAAATGGACATGAGCCCTCCTCCTTGGCAAATCATTGTGTTTGCTCATTGCCCTTCAGGGTTAAGGTGTGATGAACAGGAGGAGGGCCACATAAGCAGGTCCCACACGTTCGATCAGACTAGACTCCACTTTCAGGGTAGAATTCAGAGGTTCCAGTTCTGGGAAAAATGGAGCAGGCACACTCTACCCCGTCTTCCTCACTGACACTACAAAGCCAGGATGCGATGCACGCAGCAGCTAACTGTGGACTCAGAAGTAAATCGTGGCAGGTGGATGGGGGAATGACAGAATTTGGAGTAATGCCCAACGGTGAGTTTATTGTTTGCCGCTGCCAGCACTGATGCAACCTGAAACCCTGAAATGGCACCAGGACAGAAGACCTCCAGAAGGTCTCTAGTGGCCAGGGAGGCCACCGAGTCTAACAGCAGAGAGGTGGGAGGAAATCCTGGTTTTCTTTCCTTTTTTTTAGATATGGGCTCTGGCTAACTAAGCTTTAAAATTTTAAGACTTATTTTTAGAGCTTAATAAGGAGCAAGGGGATTTAGAGACCACATGGTCTGATCCCAACTGTTTCCAGATTGGCAGACCAGGTTCAGGAGCGGTGTGTTCTTGTGTTTGTGAAGCTGGTTAGGGGCAGAGCTAGGATGGGAAGCCAAGGGCCTCTTTCTTTTCTCTTTTTTGTTTTGAGAGCGTGTTGCTCCATCACCCAGGCTGGAGTGCAGTGGCACAATCATAGCTCACTGCAGCCTTGAACTCCTAGGCTCAAATGATTCTCCCACCTCAGCCTCCCCAAGTAGTTGAGACTATAGGCATGCATCACCATGCCCAACTAACTTTTTTTTTTTTTTTTTTGAGACGGAGTCTCACTCTGTCGCCCCAGCTGGAGTGCAGTGCAGTGGCGCAATCTCGGCTCACTGCAAGCTCCGTTTCCTGGGCTCAAGCCATTCTCCTGCCTCAGCCTCCCAAGTAGCTGGGACTACAGGTGCCCACCACCACGCCCTGCTAATTTTTTGTATTTTTTAGTAGAGACAGGGTTTCACCATGTTAGCCAGGATGGTCTCGATCTCCTGGCCTCGTGATCTGCCCGCCTCAGCCTCCCAAAGTGCTGGGATTACAGGCATCAGCCACCACGCCCAGTCACCCAACTAACTTTTAAAATTTTTTTGTAGAGATGGGTGTGATGATATGTTGCCCAGGCTGGTCTTGAACTACTGGGCTTAAATGATTCTCCCACCTCAGCCTCCCAAGTAGTTGAGACTACAGGCACATGCCACCATGCCCAGCTATTTTTTTTTTTTATGTTTGGTAGAGACAGGGTGTTGCTATGTTGCCCAGGCTGTTCTTGAACTCCTGGACTCGAGCAATCCTTCTGCTTTAGCCTCCCAAAGCGTGGGATTACAGGTGTGAGCCACCATGCTCAGTCCTTTTCTTTATTTTCTTGCACCCGGACCTGAGCATTCCTGTGGCAGCAACCAGAGCCTGCAGGAGTCAAAACTCTGAGGGAAGGAACCTTCTTTACTGATGAGAAGAGCTGTGGTCTCAGCAGGATTGGGTGAATCTGGTTGCTTTTTCTATCTTCATGCTGCTGGGCCCAAAATATAGGCACGGTCACAGAAAGTAGGTGGCAAAGCGGGTAAGTAAACCCCCCAGCTTTCTGGCTGGCTGATCAGAAAAGGGGACTCCAGGGATGCTTAGAGAACTGCGGAGATTACAAAGGACGCGAAGCTTGAGAAGCAGCCTGTGAAGTTGTATATGAACTCCTAGACCCACACCCAGCTGCAAGATCTGCCCCTAAACCGCATAAGCAGACCCGAAAGAACTGAATGCTGCAAGAGATACTGCCCAGGACAGACGGGCCACAGCGTGGCACACAGCTGGGACAGATTTGAAGGCTGTGAAAGCCAAACTGTCATTGCAACTACAAACTACAGAAGGCTGGTTAGAGCTTGCAGCCTGAGCCCAACTGGGTCAACTGCCTGCTAAAACAAAAACATCAATGTTCTCCCTAGGATTTAAACAAGGCCTGGAGCCCTTTAACAATATTCAAAATGTTTAGGATACAATCAAAATTTCTCAATACACAAGAACCAAGAAATTCTCAACTCCTGTGGGAAATAACTCACAGATGCCAGTGCCAAGATGACACAAGGTTTTGGAATTACCTGACAAAGACCTGGCAGCAGCTATTATTAACATGTTCCAGTAAATAAGGGTTAGAGCAAATGGAAACAAAGGGAGTCTCAGCAAGGAGATAGAAAAACCAAATAACCACTTGAGAACTGACAAATACAATAACCAACAGCCCCAAACAAAAACACAACTTCCCAGTAGGGCTCAGTAACAGACTGGAGATGAGAGAGGAGAGTCAAGTGACACGGGCTGGGCGCAGTAGCTCATGCCTGTAATCCCAACACTTTGGGAGGCCAAGGTGGGGGGATCACTTGAGGCCAGGAGGTCGAGACCAGCCTGGGCAACATAGTGAAACCCAGTCCCTACAAAAATAAATAAAATGAGCCAGGTGTGGTAGCATGCACCTGTGGACCCAGCTACTCAGAAGGCTGAGGCAGGAGGATCACTTGAGCCCAGGAGCTCAAGGTTGCATTGAGATATGATTGCGTCACTGTATGCAAGCCTGGGTGATGGAGCAACACTCTCTCTCAAAACAAAAAGAGAAAGAAAGAGGCCCTTGGCTTCCCATCCTGGCTCTGCCAATACCTAGCTGTACAAACACAAGAACACGCCACTCCTGAACCTGTCTGCTAATCCAGAAACAGCTGGGATCAGATCACGTGTTCTCTAAATCCCCTTGTTCCTTATTAAGCTCTAAAAATGAGAAGTCTTAATCTTTTAAAGCTCAATCAATATGATGACTCTCCTTTTAATACCCAAGGGCAGAGGCAGCCCAGGCATATTTTAAAAAATCAAACCATGACAGAATGGGGTCTAATTACAGGAAGAATTCACAGCCCTAAAAGAAACAGGTCACAGGAGAAAAGGGGTATGATGTCTTGCCAATGTGGAGAGAGAGGCAGATGATTCTGGCTCGCCCCCACCCCTGGGATCTTTGAAAGCAAAAAGAACCTCAGTGTTTTGCCCTTATCATTCTTTTAGGATAATTTTGAATGCTTAGGAATAAAATATGTTGTCCAATTCATCCTGTCAGTGCTGGGGACGTGGAGCAGATACAGACTGAGTGACAGTGCCTGAGCTGATGGCCCTTGATGTGGCATGATGGCACAGGGGAGATCACCACACTATAATTCTGTGTACGGCTTAAATTTTAAATAATAAGTTAAAAAAGAGACTGGTTTCTACTTTGTGATGTGATTTTTTCTCATGTGCTTTTTGTTCGAGGTCAGCTACAGTCTCATGCAGAGCTGTGTACCCCCAAAAGCTGCAGGGACAGTAATAATGTGAGTAGGGGACCTACAGGCTCAGTCTCCTGAGCCTCCTGTGCGAGGGTGACAAGAGGCATGACCGTCGGCCCACAGCAGACCTGCTGCGTGTCACTGGATAGCCAGATTTCCCTTAGATAGGTTAAAGAAATGACAGTGTATAGTGTGAATTAAAAGTTTAAAAAGACAGAAAACCCAATTGCAGAGCCCCAAAAGGGCAGGCAAATTCAATGAAGGGGGGACCAGATCTCTAGCAGCACTATGCAGAGCAATCCAGCTTTGTGGAATGGCACGGTGGGAGAGGTCAAAGGACAGGTCAAGCCTACTGGTTTGGAGAGGATGATATAAAAAGAGATCCCCAGAGTCCAGCGCAGTCAGGGAGTCAAGCGTGCTTGGAAGGAAGCCAGCAAGGTAGGGAACTAAGGAATGCCAGATGGACCCTACATTTGGCTCTTTGCAGGGTCTAAAAGATAAATATTTTAACGATGAGCAGTCACAAGCCAACCAAAGCATTTTAAAAGCGTTTCCCTCTGTATTGTGCTCAAGTGAAAGGAAGTTCTACAGGTGTGTTTCAGAACAGCCACTCCAAACTGTCCTCTCGAGGCTCTTACCTTGGTCTGTTTCTTCTCAGTGGCGTAGACAATGGAGGTACAACAGACTTCAGCAATCTTCCGGCCCTGACCGTAAAAGGACCAGCAGCAGATTTCATCCCCAATGACATCCTTTATGAATAGGACCCTTCCGTTAAAGCGCAGAGACAGCTTATCAAACAGTTCAATGTTTTTCAACATATTGTCGTCAGAATTGCTGCAAAAGAGCATTTGATACGGTGACCACAAGCTGGTAAAAACTGCCATCATTTGCTGGGCCCTTCTACACGCAGGGCCTTACTGAGCCCACTTTCTCCACTATCTCATTTCAACCTCACACGAATCCCATGACAAATGCACTCCAATCTCAATCGCTCAAGAAGGAAAGTTAGGATCAGAGAAATTAATTGCTCGAGGCTGAACCTAATCAATGGCAGACAGGCCCCCCAAAAGACAGCCCTGGCCCCTAAGCCTGAGTGCTCCTAACCATCGTGCTTGAGTGACAGCCTCTGGGCAGAGGCACCAGGTGGAGGAGAGCGCCTCACCGAGCCCCGCGAGGAGCAGAATGGCACTGCCCAAGGGAGACTCTGTATCCCAGGTCTTTTTAAAGATCTTGAGTAACTTCATTAAATCCTCCCGGCATCCCTCAAGTTCCCGAGTTAGAGCCATATGTTTTCAAGGGCCAAATGGCATTCTAGAAACCTGCATATATTGCTGGTGGGAATGTAAAATGGTGAAGCCACTTTAGAAAACAGTTTGGCAGGTCTTCGAATGATTAAACCTAGAGTTACCACATGACCCAGCAATTCTGCTCCTAGAGAAATGAAAAACATGTCCACACGAAGACTGCATGAATGTTCATAACAGTATTAAAACAATAGCCAAAAAGTGCAAACAACCCAGATGTCCATCAACTGATGAATGGGTAAAGAAAATGTGGTCCACACTGTGGAATATTATCCTGCCATAAAAAGAATGAAGTATTGATTCATGCTACAACATGGATAAACCCTGAAAACCTCTTAGGTAATCTCACTATGATGAGTGAAGGAATCTGGTCATAAAACGCTACATATTATGCAATTCCATTCATATAAAAATGTCCAGAACAGGCAAATTCATTAAGACAGAAAACAGATTAGTGGTTACCTAGGGCTGTGGGGTTGGGGAGGCAATGGCTGAGGGAAAATGGGGAGTGACTGCTAATGAATAGAGGGTTTCTTTTCAGGCAGTGAAAAAGTTCTAAAATTAGATAGTGGTGATGGCCTCACAACGTGTGAATATACTAAAAACCACATATTGTGAATATAATAAAAACTGTGCACTCTAGAAAGATGACTTTTATGATATGTGTGAATTAGAGCTCAGAGTTATACCCCTGTATCCATCTGTCTACTTGTCTATCCAGGCAGAGAGGTACAGAGGGGTCATCCTCATCTGAAGGTACAAAGAGGAGCTGGGTCTGGCTGGTGTGAGTGGAGGTTTTCCTAGTAAATGGAGCTGTCTTTCCCAGCTGACGCCTTACCTGGTATATGAGTATTTGTTGTTACTTCTGTTGTAGAGCAACTTCACGGCCGGCTGTGGGTTGTTTTAAAAGAAGAAGACGAAGAATTATTTGGCAGGCAGGTGCAATGAACTACTGGCTTCCCATAGGGCTGGGGCCCTGTGCTGCAGCAGAAGAGGCAGACAAGCATAGCTTGCTGGCTGGAGAGGGGGACCGCATGACCCAATAGCAGAGGACAAAAGATGACCTGTAGCTTCCCATTGTGAACCCATTCTCAGGCCTCACTCAGGCAATTACACATGTTTTTATTTCAAAAGTTATTCAGAAGAACCTCCATCATTTCTGGTAGCAAAAGAAATTCCACAAGGGTGCCTCCAACATACCTTATTTGAAGTCGCTATAAGTTTTTGTTCTTCCTTGGATGAGGTGATCACAGGGACCTTGCAGAAAGGCTCATAAGTATCTTTGTTCTGCTGGAACAAAACATGCTTTCAGCCTAGGAGGCCTGCCTAGCACTGCATTTTTAAAGCTGACCTGCTGGACAGACAGGCTCTGGCAAGGGGAGATGGGGCAGTCATGGCTGGGAAGAGAGGAGGATTCTTACCACCAGTGAACTAGATGAGGGAGACAGGGAGTTCGATTTCCCAGTAAGTCTGCTCTTTGGCTATGACCATTATAGGCCAGGATGCTGAGTAAGTATTAACAATGACGACCATTTTCCACAGCCCAGGAAGCCACTCAAAAATAAACCCTCGTCGTAGCAGCTGAAACGTGATTTAATCAAAAGCTCCTAAAACCCCACTACGATGGCTGCAGAGGAATAAAAAAAAGTATAAACCCATAAAGGGAAAAAGAATGGGAGAAGTGAGGTCAGCAGACCAGGAAAAAAAAAAAAAAGTCAAAAACTTGAGGCTGGAAAGGTCACAGGTGAGCGTTAACCAAGGAGAGGGGGAAAGCTGAAACCAGTGGGCGGAAGCACTGGGAAGATCCCCAAATCCATCTCTGTCCCCACGCAGGCAGAAGAAAGGGCAACTTTCCTGCAGTGGTTTGCACAGTAGAGGACAGGGCTGAGCTGCAATTCTGAAAACGGGGGGAGAAGTGTGAACATCACACTAAGTGACCAGCAACCCCAGCTCCTTCCCCTTCCAGATCCCCAAAGGCAGCCGGCCAGGCCTAGACCCATCAGCAGGAGGACAGTAGAGGATTGCTCTTCAGGAACACCATCTGTCCCCCAAAATGGCTTACAGATTCTGATAGCTGGGGGTCCCACTGAAAAAGTCTGCCTTATCACCACAATGCAACCCAGTGGACAAGGACCATACATGCACAAACAAGCTTTCAGAGTCTCATTCTTTCAACAGACAGCCAAGCATCATCAGATTACATGTGAAAAGCCTCCTAAACATGAGAGCAAAACCAAAACAAAGAGAGGAAAAGAGGAGGAGTCAGATAATGAAGGGAGAAGAAAGAAAACAAATAGTATCATCGGACAGATGAGAGCAGATACGGCCTCAAGACCAGCACGCTGTGGAAAGCAGGGCATTCGGAGAGCAAGAAAAGGCTCTTAGAAGTTAGAAAGACGATAGCAGAAATGAAAATTTTGATAGAAGGGTTGAAAATATAAAGGTGAAAAATTAAAACTTCTGAGCAAGTAGAACAAAAGGATAAAGCCAGAGACACTAAGAGGAAAGAATTAGGAGGTCAGTCCTGGAGGTCTAACCTCAGACTAATAGAAACGAGACCCAGGGGCATGTCTCCAAGACAAAGATGAAACAGAACCTCTGATGTGTCTGAACACACCAGTATGAGACCGCTGAGAACATGGCGCTGAAGTAGGAACATATATTTAGAAAATCAAGCGAACAAAACAATGAGGCAATCCCTAACTCTGGCAAACTTACAGTTACAGAAGAAAGAAAATAATCATTGTACACTCTGTGGCTTAACTGTCAGCCATATTTATGCGTCATGATGTAAACTCTGAATTTAGCCAGAACTGTGATGAAATGTACCAGGAGAATGGGAGAAGGAAGAGTATGCCTAAGCTTGGTGGGGGTGGAGGTAGGGGCAGTGCGTGAGTTAAATTCTAGTTTTCTATAGTCATGCCAGTAGATAATGTCAAAAACTGAGAATTCAATAAAGAGCAGCACAGGCGAATTATGTGGAAACATAAATGTGAACAGAAAAAACTGCTGAGAGAATTCACAGAGGTTACTGCAGGGGTGAAGGAGAATAGGAGGGGGTATGGTGGTGTTTTTGATGTTAACCTTGCAGCACTATTTGACTTCTTGAAAGATGCATGTGCATCACTTTTACCAACGTAGTAACAATAAAAAAGTAAATGCTGCAACATTCAGTTAGATCTACAGTGAGTTCAGACTCTCAGAGTAGAGGTGGCGTGCAGCGTTAAAGGTACTGGTCCGGTGCGGGGCCAGACACAGACATGTGGTGTTGGGGAGGCCCAAACAAGGGCGTCATGCACACAGACCAGATTCCTATGACAACCCAGACAACCTAAAGGGACGCTTCTGATGCTCTGCCACATTGTAACTTTGTTTGAAATAAAGGGGTGTTGGCTATGTCTAGAAGCATTTTGGTTTTGTGGGATTTTACTGTCACCAGACCTGACCCCAATGGTCCTGCTCTGTCCAGCTAAGGAGTGAGGGGTGTCTGTCTGTAGAGATTATGCTGAGCTCCCAACAATGACTTTTGGGACTAGAGTAACCCTAAGATTGGTCCCGAACACTGACCAAGTTTTACACAGCGGGGTTTGCTGCTGAAGGGTTGAGATGTACACATGAGAAGATCCAACAGCATGGGGGCTGCAAGGACTGAGACAGTAGGTGGCCTGCTGTTCCAGGGAGGCCTCCCAGGGGTCACTCTGACTGAAGGAATCGGGCTCCAGGGCAAACTCATTAACTCTCACAACATCTCAGTCAGACAGAAACCGCCCCTGTTTTGCAGAGAGGGAAAACGAGGAAGGCAGGTAGGCTTGGTGCCTCTCCGCCCATATGGGAAGAAAGGGTGATGCCTACTTGTAGGGCCGCCTGGCACTCTTCCACCAGGCCTTGGACCAGGTAGTACTTGGCTTCTGCTAGCAGCTCCTCGATCTCCCGGCGGCTCTCGGGTAAAGGCACCGCCCCGTCTCGAAGGTAGTTGAGTATTGTACCAAAGTGCTTCCCACAGCGGTCAATGAGGATCCAGCCTGCAGGGGGAGGAGGCAGGGGCTGGTTACGTGGGCCCTCCTCTCGTGGGAGGCCCTGAGCTGAACTGGGGTGTCTCTCAGCTCCCTCTACCTCCCAGCAGAGAGTGGGACTGCCTGGAGAGCGGCAGCCTCACCTGCCCACCTGTCCAGTAAGGGCTGAGGAGGCCCCCACAGCCTCCAGGCCCTGCTGACACAGCCACAACCCCAGGTAACCCTGATCTGAGGCTCTGTTGTACATCCCGACTCTTGAGGCCCAAAAGTACACTTCTGAAGTACCCTCAAATATCCCTTAGACAAGGACATCCAAGAGGGGCTCGTGTATCACACCTGGGTAAAACAGGTCCAAATGGCCGCATCCCAAGGACGGAATAAAGACTTCTGGGGTAAAAAATAGCTACTTCCTCTTTCTACAAAGCTTCCCTCAAACTGTCACGTAACAGAGCCATTTCTAAGAATGCACAAGCCTCACCCTTGCAGACTATGACCTTTGGCTCCCAAGGCTGAGCCCCAGACACTGACCAGCACCACCACAGGAAGTCCTATTCCACAACTTCCTGCAACAAGCACTTAGTGGCTACTGAATGACCAAGACAGACCCCACCCTCAAGCAGCTCGGTCAACACGGGGAGACAGAACCAGCTTTTATTGGATATGGAAAAAGGTCCCAACTGCTGACCAAATCCAGGCACTGTGAAACATTCTTGGGGGTGGGGGCCAGGAAAACTCCCTATTCTGCTGCTCAATGTCCTTTCTAATCTTGTCACTGAGCCGACATTCCTCCACTAGAGATCCTAAGGGTTTTCAGAACCCCTCTACTGAAATGCAGTGTCTCTGGGAGTAGTATTTGGAGAAGACAGGACTGGAGCCTAGGAGGAGGAAGTACCAAAAAGGGAGGCAGGAATGGAGCAAAGACCAAGTATCTCCCAACAGCAAATGTGAGCCTCTAAAAAGAAGCCAGACTGATGAGAGGGTGAAGTTGAGGCCTTCTGACAAGCAGGGCGACCTCAGGCGAGGGGTGTCCCCATGGCTCCTGCCCTGCATTACAGGTGGAAAATGCCTGTGCCGTGAGGAGGCTTCAGTAGGAATCGGTCACTTTATGCTCCCACCTTCCTCCCCACTTTGGGAGAAGGGCCAGCATTTCCACTCCTAACAACACTGTGCCCTGCTCCACATCCTCCTCAGATTGGGCCCTACTGATCCTGGGCCTTGGATCAGTGGCAGAGGCCAGCAAAAGTTGACAGCAGCAAACGCATCTTTTTCACAATCCAAAGTCATAAGTCGGCCCGATTTCCCCTACCACTTAACCTGGCAAGCCCAGTCCCTGCCAAGTGCCCTCTCATGGTTTTAGGGCACAGTTTGGTATTCTTTGCATCATTTGCCAGGAAAGTTGGTAATAGGGCCGTTTCCAGGTTCCCCTGATGAAACAGCTCAGCCTAAAGTTCCTGGGCCTTTTCTTAAAGGAACAGTCTCAGCCCTCCAGCGGCTTCCACTTCCTACTTCCACACTGTTCCAATTTCCTGAGTAGGTGGGAAGAATACCCCAACTTGGGGGAAATGCAATACAAATGTGTAGCCCTGAGTCAACTCCTGGTTTCAGGGAAGAAAGAGGCCTTCCCAGGCATAGTAAATCACATCACCCTGATAATGACTTCCAAATGTGATCCCACCCCACTTCTTTCTACATCTGAGACAACAAAATACGGAATTAATATCTTATGCAACCCAGATGCCTCCGGGGCCAGTAAGCAGCATACATGAGTGCAGCTGGGTGGGGCTGAGGCTGGGGCTGACAGGACAGCATTTGCCCTGCCCCCAAGAGGGGCAGGCTCTTCCCACTCCAGCCAAGAGTGGCCAGGCAGGAATGTGGGCCCAAGAGCTGTGAGCTCTGATGTTCTATGCAATGCCAGAAACGCAGATTTTTCTGTGAATTCCCTGATTTTTAAAGGATGGTAACTAATTAAAACAAAACAAAACTGTCATCAACCCACCACGAGGCAAACAAAACACATCTGCAGGTGAACTGGGCCTGCAGTCTACCAGCTTGAGGCCTCTGTGCTGCCTACACCAAGTACGTTTCTCTCAGAAGGCTGACAAGCCGAAAGACTGTATTACCTTTCCACCAGTTCTTTTTTGAGGGGAGCTCATTCCCTTGCATTTTCCACGGATAAAACAGAGGCTCAGAGAGGTTCAGCGCCATTCCCAAGCAGAGGCGGCAGGACTAGACCACAAAGAAAAAGTAAGGCACTCATAGGAAAACTCCTTTCACCAGAATTGAAAAGATAAATAGAATTCAACTCAGCTGCGCAGTGGAGGAAGCTTCCACGCTCTGCCTTTGATGCCTGTAGAACTCAGCTGCTTGGAAGACCCAGGGCCCTGAAATCAATTATCCAAGTGACAGCCTAGAGTTCCCATAAACGAACAGGCAGACCGTGACACTGGGCTCCGGCTCAAGAATGCCGTCAGGAAATGCTTGTGGCGAAGGAATCATACTTTGGACAAATAAGGGCAAGGGAGCCAGGCACACTCTCCAGGAGGTTTCAATCAGCATTTTGACTTTAAGATACTGTGGTTGCTTTCAAAGCAGGAAGTGATCCCTTTGAAAGTCAGCTCAAATGCCTAGCATGTAGAAAGGCAAATGGAAGTCAAGCAGCTCCTCGCATGTGGGGGGTCTCTCTCCTGCTGCCACGGGGCACGAGGGCTATTTAGGAAGGCTGGCCAACTCAGGGCAGCCTGTCATCCCGCGACCCATTAGGCAAGGCTGGAGAGCAGAACTGACCGGGACCACACTGGACGGCACTGGACTTGGGCTCCAGGACGTCCTCAGCACAGCACAGCAGTTCAGTGTTGGAAACCCAGCTCTGATACCTTCTTGCTGGATGACACTGGTGCTTCATTTTACCTCTGTCTAGCAGTTTTCTCTTCTACAAACGATCTCACAGGGTTGAGATAAAAATACGATGAAAGAACGTACAGAAGGCACACAGCACAATGCTGGGTCTACCAACAGCACTCAAAAGCAGCTATGGGTCTTTGACAATGTCATCTCTCATGATTATGGCTGGAAGCAGAGCAGCAGCGTCCAGAGGCAGCAAGTTCCAGCCCCCAGGACGGAGTTGGTGTTGCTTTCAGTGACCCAAAGGAAGTGAAGGCTGCTCTGGGGGTCGGGGGATTGGGCCACTAGGCTCCCCTCCTCCCCACCCCGCGAGCATACGATGTGCTTCCTCTCTCCCTGGATGTCTGGCCTCTCCTTTCCCTTCCCCCACCGCCTCCAGAGAACCTTCACTGACCTCTTCGCCATCCTAAGGTATTTATACTCTATACTTTTGTGCTTTGCAAACACCCCGGATCACAAATGCCACCCAAGGTACTTGTGAAAAATTCAGATTCTAGGAACCTGCCTCATACCTGATCAGAATCCCTAGGGCAGCATCTCCAACCTGAGCACTCTGACATTTTGGACCAGATAATTCTTAGTTGTGAGAGGCCGCCCCGTACATTGTAGGGTATTTAGTTGCATCCCTGGCCTCTACTCACTCGATGCCAGGAGGACCACCATCCCCAAGATGGGACAACCAAAACTGTCTCTGGACATTTGCTAAACGTCCCAAAAAATCACCCACTGGGTGGGCATCACTGAGGCAGATCAAGGACCTAAGTATAAAAAAGCAATTTAAACTTTGAGGTATCAAAAAGCCCCATTAAAAAAGCTCAGACAAGTCAGACTGGGAGAAGATATCTGCAGCAGACCCCAAAGAAATAGGATCCAGAATATGAACTTCTACAAAGTAATAAGAAAAGAAAAACACAAATGTGTAAACAAGACGCAATCAAGCAGTTAAAAGATTAAACTCAAAAGACCAATAAGCATAAAAACATGCTCAATGTACCAGACATTAGGAAATACTGAATAAAACAAGGTACCATATCATACTCACCAGATTTGCAATAATTAAAAGGTTGGACAGTGCCAAGGGTTGGCAAAACCAGACTTCTGCAGGGAGTAGAAGTTGCCATAACCACTCCAGAAGGGACTCCTGCAGTATCTAAGGGAGTAGAAGGTGCTGTCCCAATTCCCCTCCCAGGAATAAACTCTAGGGCTGAGCTCCCAACAGTGGGGAAGATCTTAAAGCCACAGCCCGAGATGGCTGGGTAGGGTCTAGGGAGTCCAGAGCCCCGCATTTGCCAAAGTGAAAATATGATCGTCTACATGTGCCATGATGTGGCAAAAGCTGAGCAGCATCACACAGAGCAACTCCCATGCTCGGGGAAAGTGTTCAAGGATGTTCACATTCCTAGCAGTGAACACCGCAAACCCTCTACATGATCATCAACAGAATATGGCTCCGGCAGCGGCTGTATGCTTCTAGAATGGACACTCTACCACCAGGAAATGTGTGAACGAGAGCTATTTAGTTGTGGATTGATCTCACAAGCATAATGCTACATAAGCAAAAGCAAAACAGATACAAACTGTACAGCACCATTGACATCACGTTTAAAAGCACACCAATAGCGCCTTGTTTAGGGAGTTTAAGAGTAATACCTGGAAAGATCGACACCTGTGGTTCTCAACGCTGGTTGCACACTAGAATCACCCAGACAGCTCTTCAACGTCCTACTGCCCAGGCCACACCCTGGCTGGGACTCAGGCACCAGTACTGACCTCCTCAGGTGACTCACTCTGTAGCCAAGCTTGAGATACACCTAGTGACCCCACATGCTTACCTTTGGAAGGGAGAGGGACAAACAGAGAAGGTACAGAGGGGCCCCACAGGTACAGGTCATACTTTATGCCTGGACTGAGCCTGGTGGCACAGATGAGTTTGTTGTATTATTCACAACTTAAAAGCTCTGAGGTACTTCGGAATTTTACAAAAGAGCATCGTCATGGAAGGCAGAAGGGCTGGAGATCTCAGGGAAGCCCTCAGGAACTGCAGTTTTCCCATGGATCAGACTGATTTCTAGGGGAGGTGCAATCACAAAATGAATGACTCTTCAATCTAGGCTACACACTCATTCCAAAATACATTAGCAAGACATCAGAAAACATACAATGGGGGGAAGTATCGTGCCAAGCAACAGGGATGAAACAAACACTACAGGCAAATGCTGAACGGATGCATTGTGAAAGGCACTACCTAAATCTGTGAACCAATGGCGACGCTGACGAGTCAGGTGAAAATTCTAGCACTGTGGGAACTGAACCTTTCCGGGAAGAGTCTGGGAAGGGCGTGCTCACTGCCGCAGTGTCCTCGTCTTCTCAGAAAAGCCATCCCATGGGGGTAGTGTGGAACTGCAGCATGCTCATCCCTGAAGGACAAGGCAGGCAGCCTCTCCTGACATGCTGCTAAGACCTGCTTCTCTGTAGCCCCTCAGCAACACTCATCCCCCCAACATTTACTCTCAGAACAAAAGTCATAATTGGCAGTTCCCATTTACTGAGTTCTCCCAACATCTCAGGCCCTGTGGCAAGTGCCTGAGATGTGGCATGTCCTCACTCAATCCCCAACTCTGCAAAGCATTTTCATTCACAACTGGGGAAGGAGGAAAGAGCTTCAGAGAAAAAGCCACTTGTCCAATGTCATATGACCAGTAAATGGCAAATAGGCCAAAATTAGCAGAACATGTAGACAGGGCTCCATAAATGTTGACTGTGACTGTGACATGCAGCAGAGCCAGGACTTAACCCAGGCCTGGCTAACATCAACACCCAAGTTCTTCTTGGTTTAGGAGTTACCTGCACACAGTACAAAACTCAAACAGGTAGAAGGGTCCGGAGCCAAAAGGAGACTATTTCCCCCATGCTGGATGCCAGGTCCCCTCTCCTGAAGCAATCACTTTCTTGGGCAACATGACACATCCCCTGTTCAGAACCTTCAAAGCCCTTGTCCTTTAACCAGCAAGCTGTACTTCAGGCTTCACTGCCTGGCTGAGCTGCACTTGGCATTTCTGCCTATTTGTAGCAAACTTCATTGCAGCTGACAGGCTTCCAGCCTGTAGGCCAGGATGGAGCTGCAAGATGCAGGGAGTCTATCCCAATTTGTAGACCCAAGGGTGCATTTGAGGCAACCTGCAGGCCATGGGTCAGGCTGTGCATTGCTGTCTCCAAGGACCAACAGGATCGCTCTGCCAGGCACAGACAACGGCTAGAAGGCCAGATACCCAGCCTACTATCCCAGGCCTTCACGAGGGCCCCCACCAGAGGGCTTTAGCACAAAGCCAGCAGTTAAATCGTAAGGATGCCACACTCAAACGATCTGGCCTGGGACCAGGCCCACATCTAGCCATGCACAGCAGGCAGTAAGAGCCAGCAAGTCCTGGGTTCAGCAGCTTCACCTTTTCTAGTCCCACCAGCTTTTGAAAAAGCATTTCACCTCTGAGATGGGGACTCCTCACTTGGAATGGTAACAACAGTATCCACCCCTGGAATGGTTATGGTGAGGATTAAATGAAACAATACCCACTGGCCACATGTGGTGGCTCAGGCTGTAACCCCAACACTTTGGGAGGCTGAGGTAGGAGGATAGCTTAAGCCCAGGAGTTCAAGGCCAGCCTGGACAACATAATGAGGCCCTATCTCCACAAAAAATTCTAAAAAATTAGCTGGGTTTGGTGGTGCATGCCTGTAGTCCCAGTTACACAGGAGGCTGAGGTGGGAGGATTGCTTGAGCCCAGGAGATGGAGGCTGCAGTGAGCTATGATGGCACTACTGCACTTCAGCCTGGGTGACAGAGCAAGACCCTGTCTCAAAAAAAAAAAAAAAAAAAAAAAGAATGCCCCATAAAGTGCCACACCATGAGCTTCCATAATCATATGAAGCAGGGGCTGAGCTCCAGTGACATGAAACAAGCCACAGTTTGCAGCGTCAAAAATGACACTGTGTCCCCCGAGAACCTGGGTTTTCCAGGCAGCACCAGCCGAAAAACATCTCATAGCAGGCACTGAGAAGGTGAGCAGTCCTGCCAGTACCACTCGCATGTTCTGTCCAGTCGGGGACAGGCAGACTGAGGAGTCTGTTTCTTTTTTGATATGGCATCAGGCCACCAAGGCGAGGCCTTTTGAGGAGAAGAGGCGTCCACTCAGCTTTCGAGGCAACTCAGCAGCCTTTCCTGAGCCCCTCCAGAGACTGGGTAGGGTACAAGAAAAACCACAACAATCCTGGTTCTCAGAAAACGCCTGCTTCCTCCAGCAGCTGGGGTGCTATTGTCTTGATTTCCACAGATACTCTGGGGCCATGTGGGGTGTGGCACAGCAAAGGGGATCCTCCCACTCATAAAAAGCTAAATGTGAGATGGCAGCTCTGGGGCTCCAACCTCAGTTCACTGCTGCCTGAACAGAAACCAGAGTTCACAGGAAGCAGAACCTCCAGCCCCACACCCTGGTCTTCCCCAGGACACAGAGAGAAATGCCCTCACCAGTGGGCAGCCCAAGCTTCGGCTCTCTTAGGACTGGAGAATGAACTGGGGGACACCAGGCTTGGGTCCCCTAGTCCCACCCACTTATGTGAAAACTCACTCACCCTCCCAAGTCAATGTCCCTGGAAAGGTGGGGCAGCAGCATAGAAGGCCAGTCTCAGAAACAGGAAAGCGGGGTCAAGGTCAAGCCAGGCTGTACCCTGGCCTGGCCTTAAGCAATCTCAGGCCAAGGAATGAAGGATGGAGCTATTTTTAAACCTCATGTGACCTGCCGGTAAACCCAGCCAGGTAATAAGGATGGAGCCCCGTTGCCAGGGGCTCTTTGATGGTTCCAGGTGGGTAGGAAGTAGTTATGAAAGACCCCTCTAAATGATTCATTGCCTTTTTCTTTTTTTTGAGATGGAGTCTTGCTCTGTTGCCCAGGCTAGAGTGCAGTGGTGTGACCTCAGCTCACTGAAAGCTCCGCCTCCTGGGTTCACACCATTCTCCTGCCTCAGCCTCCTAAGTAGCTGGGACTACAGGTGTCCGCCCCCACGCCCGGCTAATTCTTTTATTTTTAGTAAAGACGGAGTTTCAGCATGTTAGCCAGGATGGTCTTGATCTCCTGACCTCGTGATCTGCCCACCTCGGCCTCCCAAAGTTCTAGGATTACAGGTGTGAGCCACCATGCCCAGCCGATTCTTTGCCTTTTACTAACATGACTTTCCACAAGAAAAACGTGTGCGCGTGTATCTATTTATGTATATATACACACATACACATATACACACAGGCATTGACTATATATGGATGAACACTTACTATGTGCCAATGGCCCCATGGGGCAGGTACTGTCATGCCCATTTCACCAGAGGAAGAAAACGAGACCAAAAGGTTCTGCCACTTGGCTAGGATCACCAGATACGAACTGGGGAGCTGGGGCTCAAATCCAGGTCGGTGAGTCTTTGTCAAGACCCCATCTTGGGAGGACAAGGGTCCTGGGAAGACACCTCTCTCCCCCAGGCTTGAGTTTCACTCTGAAGTCATAGAAGCATGGCAGAGACAAGCAAGCTAAGACCGGGGTGAGGAAGTGACTTTCTCAAAGTAACACAGCAAATCAACAACGAAGTCAAGATGGTGGGAGTCCCTGACCAGCTGCCTCCTATACATCTTCAGGTCTCAACTTAAATGTCACTTCCTCAGGGAAGCTCTCCTGGACCACATAACGCATGGCCAGGGGCAGGCACGTGGCAGGTGAGCTTACCTTCACTGTCGGTGAGCACTTCCATGCGCCCGCTGAACATGGCCTTCAGCATGGTGTCCTGCTTGGTCAGTGTCTGCATGGTGGTATAGTAGAGGGCTCCACCCACGTTCAGCTTCACGTATTTGGAGCTGGGGCTCGTGCCCTTGAAGGAAGTGGTGCGGGTAGCAGCCGCTGGCACCGCTGAGCTCACCACACTTTCTCCTGACATCTCTTCCTGCCAGTAGAGAGGACACAGGGTCATGACATCAGGCCTGGTTGACTGCTTTCAGCCTGTGGATTCAATCTGGCCTCCAGATGTGTTTTGCTTGGGCCACGCATACACAGCATTTAAAAGTTTGCTTCCAATGTGGACAACTAAGGAGCGCTCACAGAAAAATCTGGACTTCTGGCTTCTCTTAAAATCAGAGGCCAACTGGGCTAGCAGGGGAACAACTGGTGGGAGCTGGGGTATTGGATGCCCCCTAAAGAGGGCCATGAATCCCCTAGTTTGTCCCAAAACCCACCCAGATAGCCTCATACACTGACCTTGCCTGCCGACCCTACAGGCATAAGTGTGCCGCTAACTCTTATGTTATAAGTACCTCCTTTCTGCCTAGCACCTGTATACATGAACACCCTGGCTGCACCCTAAAGCAGCCTAAAGCACTGCCCAGGTCTCTTTACATTTCCTTATTGCCATGTATCACCGAATAGCTAAGTGTCATCTTTCAGCTGCATCACAGATGAAATAAGCTTTTATGAAGTTGAATGGGATTCCAGCTCACACTCCTATCACTTCCTGTGGGGAGAAGGTGTTTCTGAGGACTAAACAACAGACATGGAAACTTTTGGAACCCAGTTATTGCACAATTAGACTTCCTAGACTAGTGCGGCCCAAAAGAGCAAGATCCCACTACAATCTCCCTGAGAGCATGGCACATCTCAAAGAAATGGATACAGTGGCTGATTTACGCAGGCCTGGAAAATGAGACTGGTATCCGGCACATGTGAACTCAGAGAAAACATGTCTGAAATGAACAGGTAAAATTGTAGAGCTGGAGATGTGCAAGGGTGGGCAGAATCTTTGATGAATCTGGGGTAGGCCCCCACGGCTGGCCTGACCATTCCCACTGAACATCAACAGTTTCTCACAGCACATCACCATCAGACAAGGCCACTCTGTGACCTTGCGACAAGACAAAAACAGGACCATTCAATCATGTCTGAACATAGACAAAAACAGAAACATTATCCAACAAAATACAAAAATGACCAAAGATCCCCTATCCTGGCTAATACGAGTTACAGCCACTGCTTTACCAATGAGAGGTTTAGCCTCTTTCCATTCTTCCTGCTTTCAAGTCAGGAATCACTGAGACTCAATCACAGAATTAGCCCTGCTTCCCAGCAGCATCCAACACAGAGCAAAGCCCCACTTCTCTGAACTCTCTCTCTCAAATCACCCAACACAAGCCCAGACCTTCTCTGAGATGTCCCACAGTTCTCCCCCAATGCAACAAGGAAATAAACCCAGCTTTGCTTGACCACAGGTATGCTCCTCGTGGTTATTGGCTGCAGGGCACTGACAGCACATAACTTTTTTGAACTATTCCCTGAAACTGAAAAAGAATTGTCTAGCTTTTCCAGATTATATGAATGGGTACTACGATTATAACTGGTAAAACACAAGCATTATTTTTGTAAACGGGATGGGGAGTAAAGGGTGGCAGCCTGCAACAGCAGAGGCAATGCAACAGTCACAGACGATATTCAATTCAAGGTTATCCAACTCTTCTGGCCAACTCTCCCCACCTCCATGGCACCCAAC